GAGCTACAAAGGCAAGAAGTGACTGGCTTACAAGTTTTCAAGAGAGAACCTAGATCCAGAGAGTACGGAGGAAGGTAGAATATCCACTGAGTAGTATACAACCTGTCTAGCTGGGGCTGATGAAATGAAATGTGGATAGATAGCTCTCTTGTGATACAATAGTGAATAATTGTTATCAGGAGTCATTGTGAGGGTCGGAAATGTAAAGGTAGACATTTTGTAGCAAGGAGGGGAGTGATTGACTTTGCAGTCTAGGAGCAGAGGTCCCTGGGACCAACACGGGAGAAGAGCGGAGTGCGGGACCCTACCCAGAGAAGCAGTGATGCCTGAGATGGAGACAGAGATGATGATGTGGAGAGATGGAGCAGCTGGAGACTTTAGATCCAGAGAGGGAGAGGGGCTGTGTGCTGACGACTGGGGGGCAGGCTCGCAGGGTATACCCTTTGGTTGGTTGATGATGCATGGAGGGGATCATAACCATGACAATGCAACAATTTATAATAGGATGAATGTAAAACTAATGTTCTGCCATGTAACCCATCACATAATTCACAATAAAACATTTTTTTAAAAAGACCCAATGTCTTGGTCTGATGGAGACTTATGGACCCATCAACACTGTGACCCTGAGACATCCTTCAAGGTTGGAATGAAATGCAGTCCTGGGAATTACCTTTCATTCTAACAGTGGTGGTGGTTATGTGCCATGGAGTCGGTTCCAACTAACAGCGACCCTGTACAGGGTTTCCAAGGCTGTAAATCTTTACGGGAGCAGAAAGCCTCATCTTTCTCCTGCAGAACAGCTGGTAATTTCCAACTTCTGACCTTGTGGTTCACAGCCCAATCCGTCACCACTACGCTACCAGAGCTCCTTATTCTAACAATAGATGGATCCCTACACTGACCCACCGCTCATCTGTCAGTCTGTCCCACTGTGCTGGCTTGTGTTGCTGTGATTCTGGAAGCTATGACACTGGTATTTTGAATGCCATCAGGGTCACGCACAGTGGACAGATTTCAGCTGAGCTTACAGACTGAGACAGACTAAGAAAGAGAGAGATGGACTACTTCTGAACGTTTAGCCGTCAAAAACCTTATGAATAGCAGTGAAACAGTGTCAGATAGCACCAGAATACTGAATATTCTAGCATGATGAAAAGAACCAGAATATTGTCAGATACAGTGCCAGAACACGACCTCCTCAGGTTGAAAGGCATTCAAACTATGAGTAGGGAAAAGCTGCCTCCTCAGAGTAGAGTTAACCACGTGAACGTAAATGCAGTAAAAGTCTTCAGGACATTTCTTTGCTGGTGGGGCACAGCTCAAAATGAGAAGACATGGCTGTAAAAATCCACTAATAATTGGAACATGGAATGTGCAAATTATGAATCTAGCAAAACTCAAAGTTGTTAAAATGAAATGGAACACATAAACATCAATATTTTAGGCAACAGTGAGCTGAAGTGGAATGGTATTGTTCTTTCAGAATCTGACAATCACATGGTTTATTATGCTGCGAATGACAAATTGAGGAAGAACACAGTCACATCCATCATCAAAAAGTACATTTCAAGATCTATCTTGGATGTTGTCTGTGATACGATCATATCCAAACACCTACAAGGAACACCAGCTAATGCAACTATTATTCAAATTTGCACACCAACCACTAAAACCAGTGATGAAGACATTGAAGAATTTTACCAACTTCTTCTGTCTGAAATTCATCCAACATACAAACAAGATGTATTGATAATTACTGCACAAAACTTCTTTAAAGTGTTGAAGAACAAAGGTGTCAGTTTGAGGACTAAGGTGCACCTGACCCAAGCCATGGTATTTTCAATAACCTCATATGCATGTGACATTTGGATAGTGAATAAGGAAGACTGTATTAGAATTAATGCTTTTGAATTATTGTTGTAAAAGAATATTAAAAGTACCATGGACTGCCAAAAAAAACAAACAAATCTGTGTTGGAACAAGTACAACTAGAGTGCTCCTTGGAAGCCAGGATGACCAGACTTTGTCTCTCATATTTTGGACATATTATCAGAAGTAACCACAGTCCTGGTGTAAAACTGGGTATGAGTTAATGTACTCGACAGAAAAGTCGGTTTCAAAAGCAAGTAATTCGCTTCAAGCTCAACAGCCGCTCCTCAGAAACCCTATAAAGGGTTGCCATGGGTGGGAACCAACTTGACGGCACTTAACAACAACATAGGGGTTATGTTCCTCATATACTTGAACTCTGTTGATTCTGAAAGGTCTTAGACATGGTACCCCCATGTGAAGAGGTGGGGAATGCTCAGCTATATAAAGGTGTCTCTCATATTCTACATTGTCTCTTGATTGTAAAGTATCTTAGCAACATACGAAGAGGTGGGAGAATGTTTATAGGCATAGGTTACAGTCCTTTCATATCTGGACTCTGTTAAACGTGAACTATCTTAAAGAAGTGTGAAGAGGTGAGAGAATGTTTAGCTATGGAGGTCACACTCTTCATGTGCCTGGACTCAGGTGATTCTGAAATGTCTTAAAGAGGAATGACAAGGTGGGAGGACCCTCACACTCCATACCTGTCCTGAGGCAGAGGTGCACCAACCAGTGAAGCCAGGGTGGGTAAGATGTCCATTAGACTTGTGGGCTCATTGATCAACTTTCCAGCTTCTAACACCCCTGGCCATCTGAAGATTCCTGGAACACGAATTCCACCTTCCCACCCTGACATTCCTTTACCACCTACATGACAAAGAAAGGGAGGTTAGTCAACAAAACACCAAACACAATCCAATGGCAAGGAGTCAGATCTCACTCACAGCAACTCTGGGTGTCACAGTAGAACTGTGCCCCACAGGGTTCTCAGTGGATGATTTTTCATAAGTAGATCCCACTCATGGTGCCCCATGTGTGTCAGAGTAGAACTGTGTTCCACAGGGTTCTCAGTGGATGATTTTTCATAAGTAGATCCCACTCACGGTGCCCCTATGTTTGTCACCTATTTATCTGTCCACCCATCCATTTATCCATCTATGAATCTATCTTACTATTTATCATGAGCATTTCTATCTCAACTGTCTGTCCATTCTTCCCTCCTTCCATCCATCCATCCATCCATCTTTGAATCTGTCGATGATCATCTCTCTATATACTTATTTATTATATTTTATATTAGCAGTCTTCCCATATATCCATCTGCCCATCCACCTGTCTCTCCCTCCATCCATATTTCATCTATCTGTATATATATATGTCTATCTATCTTTATGTATTTTATCTATCTATCTCTATCTATCTATATATCGATCTAAATCTATATGTCAGTTTATCAATCTATCTACCAATCCACCCATCTCTATATATTACTTGGCTAGACAAGGTGCCAAGCTAGGGTAAACAATAATTTATATCTTTGCAGACAGAAGGTCCCTGAAGAAAATTACTATCCAAAGATTTTTCTTCACTTGCATCATGTAACAAGACTCATAATTATGAAACTATACCAAATTTTTTGAGATATTCCAACAATTCTTACCTTTGAAGATTCCATTCCATCCTCCATACTGAACATGTCCTTTTCTGGCTTCCAAGTGTCCTCCGTGGTCTGAGGCGAAGTAGACAATGGTTTTGTTATGCAAACCATTGGCCTCAATGGCATCCAGGATGTGACCTAAAATTAGTTTAATGTCCCATTTTAATGTATAGTATTGAATTCGTTGTTGTTTTTAGATGCTATCAAGTCAATCCTGACTCACAGCAGCACATACATTACAGAGTGTCGCTACCCCATACAGTTTTTCTAGGCTCTAACCTTCATGGGAGCAGACCTCCATGACTTCTTTGCAATGACCAGCTGGAGGACTCAAACCACCAGTTGGCCTTTTGGTGAGCAGCTGAGTGCTTCACCCTTGTCAGCATGGGTGCTTTTATTGTAGTGAATAGTAAGCTTCTATTCTAATTTCAATTTTATCAAAGTAATACGAAGGGCTTCAAAAATTGTATGGGAACAGGGAAGAATCAGATGGCGGACTAGGGAAATGTGCTACTCAGACCCCCTGCAACAAAGATGGAGGAGAAACAAACAAAACTCTCAGAGATGATCATTCTGGAACCCTGAGGAAAAGTTGGAGGTGAGGCTGGGCAGGTTTGACAAAGCAGGGAGACAGACTGATGAAGGTTTTCCCAGAGGGACACTGCATGGCCATTTTGAGCTTTTCCTGGCAGCTTCATAGACCAATGTATCCAAGTGTGATTCATGCCTGGGACTCTCAACAGGAAAATGTGCTTCCTTCTTGTGTCTCACCTTCCCCTGTTGTCAGGAGATATGGACAGCCTCCACCCTCATCCACACCCGGGGCAGCTCCCATCTCTGGATCCCACCTCACAGAGGTAGAAGACGGTGGTATTACCTTGGCGGCTAGACTTGAGTCCCCCACCCCCACCTGAGTTATCTTTTTCTGGGTCCAGCGCCAACACTGTTATTTTTGTTATTCTTCTTGTTTCCCCTTCACTGTTTTTCTTTCTCTGTATTTTCTTCTCCTCCTCCTTCTCTGTCTTCCCTTTGTTTGTGTCTCTTCTACCTCTGCTTTCATTTTTTTTCTTCCTTTCTTCTGTTTCTCTTTTCCCACTTCTTCATTTTTCTGTTTCTTTCTCTTGGTCTTTCTTTACTACGGTCTAGTGTCTCTTTCACCACACCTCTCCCTGGTTTTCCTAGTGTTTTTGTGGGATGGTGGGGTTTACTTCTCTTCTTACTTGTCTCTCCTACAATTATATATTTTTTGTTGTTGTTGTTAAATGTTGTCAAGTCAATTCCGACCCATAGCAACCCTGTACAGGGTTTCTGAGGAGCAGCTGGTGAGCTTGAACCACCGACCTTGCAGTTCAAACGACTTTGCAGTCTGGTGCATTAACCCACAGCGCCACACACTGTCCCTCTTTTTCCTTCTTAGATATTAAATTATTTTTTCTAGCTGTTGCCTGGTGTTTTGCTATGTGCATTTTAATATATATTTTCTCCTTTATTATTTTCTTTCTGCAGTACTGCTTGCTTATTTGCTTTGTTTAATTTTCTTCTCTGTGTGTGTGTGTGTTTTTTCTCTTTTTGTCCCAACCAAAAGGAGACAGAATTGTGCCCCTCACAGCCAAGACACGACTGTTGCCTCTGAGCACCACTCAATGGGCAGGGGGCAATACCAGCTCCTGAATCACTGGATAAGCAGCCAAACCCACCCTAAACTGAGCTATGGAAATGGTAAACCAAGAAGTAGACACACAGTTGTAGTCTCTAATAGCCTAAGAAAACCTTAGAACACACCACATACAATCATTAGTTAAATAAATGCACAAAACACCACCACAGTATCTCACAGACACCAGACAATTTCAGCTCATAAGAAGAAACAAAGACAGTGCCTCAAGCACATGTCTATGAAGTAGAGACAGTAAATGTTTCAGAGGAATAAGAGTATTCAGAAGCGTGATATGTAGGTACTGACTGAAACAAAGATCAAGGAAAATACAGAAGAAAACAAAAAATTAGATGAAATCAGGAAAACACTATAAGAACAAACAGGCAAAATAAATGAAAATGTTGAAGCAACACAAAACCTGCAAAAAGAAATTTAATTCTAGGATTAAAAAATGTACAGGACATCGAAAGGGCAAAGCAGTTTATTTGAATCAATGGAAGCTGGAATTAGTGAGCTCAAAGATCAATCTCTCAATACTTGTAAACCAGAAGAACAATCAGAGAAAATAAGGAAAAATCTAAAAAAAGCCTAGTGTTTATGTGGGTTGCCATGCTAAGGAATTGTTGCAGACCGTCCAGACCTGGTCAGGAGTTCGAGGCCCTGTGGGCCCAAGTGTTGCAGACCGTACAGGCCACAGGCTCTGAGGAACAGACTCTAGCCACCTAGCAGACATAGCAAACGGTTTTTCATCTCAGTATTCAGTTATGTTTATTATTAATTGCATACATGAAGCCCTGATATCCACAGATAAATGTAATATTTTCCTAAAAGCCGAGACTGTAAAATTCCAAAAAGGCAAAGTTCTTCCCTCAAAGAATTCAGTCAAAGTAAATTGACTACTTCCCGGTTCTTTGTTCTAAGGTCAATAGGACTGCCCTCCCTAAAGTGTTTCCAGGTGCAGCCCTGTTCACCCAGGCTTCTCGCTTCCTGAAGAACCTGGGCTGGGCAACCGACACAATGGGACTCCTCCCAATCCTCCTTTTCCTTCCCCCATTTGAGGCTAGGTGCTAAAAGGTATGTTAATTAAGCTTGAGAAACCAAGTTGCGGTCCGTGAGATTCGAACCTGCGAAGTACGATGTAAAGCTGCCTGAACGTCTGGAAAATTACGTATGTTAGCTGCACCTTGTCTTAGTCCCGCCCAGCTTTGTGTAAAGTACCTCCCCTAAATAAAATGGAGGCACAGGCCAAACCGGGTGTGCATTACAGCTTGGAGAGCATGCTACACGGCTGACTAGGCATGTGTTGCTGACCAGCTAGTAAGGGGTGGGTACCCAGGATTTTACCACCCTTATAGCTCAGATGTTCACCACGCCGGATCTGCCGGAGGCCAGTAATGCATCCACTCTGGTTTTGGGGTGTCTCTTTGTTTCTCTCATTGTGTCCTTGTGTGTCTTTCTATATTTCTACCGCCGCCAGATATCCCCACCTCGTGAACCAAACACCTATGTTGAGGCGGGTCCCCGGCAAGGAATATTTATGGGTGATTGGAATTCCACAACAGGAAAAGACAATACAATCAACAGAGAAAATTGTCCACGATCCATAGGAAGAAAACTTCTTGAAAGATAAAAAGATTTATCTTTCAAGATACACATTCCAGAAGCCAAAAGAACCCCAAACAAGGTAGACCCCAATAGAAGATCACCAAGACATATCATAAACAAATTTACCAAAACCAACCAAACATAAGAAAAGAATTCTGAGGGCAGCTCAGGAAAAAGATGAAAACTTACCTATAAAGGCGGTCTACTAAGACCAAACCTGAATTCTTAGCAGAAACCAGGCAAGCAAGAAGACAATGGAATGACATGTAAAAAACTCCAAAAGAAAAAAAATTTGTCAACCAAAAATGATATGCGCTGCAAAGTTGTCCCTCAAATATAACAGCAAAACAAAAACATTTACAGATAAACAGAAATTAAAGGAATTCACAGCAGCTAGAACAACTTTAGAGAAACTATTAATGGGTGTTCTTTGAACTAAGAGCCAATAGTAGCAGACAATAAGTTGATATTAACAAGCATGAGAACACCACCCCAAGCTCAATTCAGATATAAAAGTATTTAAGTAAACCAAACCCACAAGACTGAAAATAGGGAACCAGAAATATCAATTCATAATGAAGACAAAGCAAAAGAGGGCAATCATGTAGGTACAGAACTCACAAAAGATGAGAAAGTCAACTAAATTTCAAGATGAAACAGACCAGTTTAACTTTCTGGTTGTTGTTAAGTGCTGTTGAGTCAGTTCCAATTCATAGCGACCCTGAGGAGCAAGTGGTGAGTTTGAACCACCGACTTTGTGGTTCAAACAGGTCTTGAGGCCGAGTGCTTAATACACCTTCACATCAAAATAAAGAAGAAAAAAAATCAGAAATGTCTGTTTGTTTTTGTTGTTTAGTGCCATCAGGTTGGTTCCAAACTCATAGTAACCCTGTATAGGTTTCCCAAGGAGTGGCTGGTGAATTTGAACTTCCGACTTTGAAGTTCAAACCAACCTTTCGGTCCTGTGCTTATCCTACAACACCACATTTAGCAAGCATTAAAACAATAGCACTAGCGAAAATTAAAAGAAAACCTACAAACAAAATGAACTCAGCACAGAAAATCATGGGGTACAAAGAAAACAACAGTACCACAAGTAAACACACAGCAAAATGACAGCAATCAATTCATACCAATCAGTAATGTCACTGAATGTAAATGAATCAAATGCAAAAGTCAAGAGACAGAGTGTGGAAGAATGGATAAGAAAACAGGATCCTTCAATATGCGGTCTACAAGAGACACACCTGACACACGAAGACAAAATAATCAGAAAGTGGGGAAAAATATTTCAAGAAAGTTACAAAAATTAGCATGAGTGGCAATATTAACCTCTGAAAAATACCAAGTAGAACATTATATCATGATTAAAGGTCAACTGAATAAGAGGACAAAACCATAATAAATATCCATGCTCCCAATAAAATGACCTCAAAATACACACACACACACAAAAAAAAAACCTGAAGAAATAGAGGACTCCACAATACTAGGAGATTTTAATAAAACCCTTTCAATGAAAGACAGAACAATTAGATAGAAATTCAACAGAGATAACACAATCAACCAACTTGACCTCATAGATTTATTCAGAGCACTAACCCAACAACATCACATTCTTCTCTAGTGTGCATGGAACATTCTCCAGAATTGACCATATGTTAGACAAGAAAGCAAACTTCAATAAATTTTAAAACATCAAAACATTACAAAGCATCTTGTCAGGTTACAATGCTATGGAACTAAAAAACTAAAAAACTAAAAAAATCAAGGGGTTGTTGTTGTTAGGTGCCATCAAGTCAGTACCTACTCATAGCGACCCTATGCACAGCAGAATGAAACACTGCCCGATCCTGGGCCAACCTCACTACTGCTG